ATGGAATAACAATGGAAAGGGATGAAAACTCAGATAATGGAGCCAGAAGAGTTCTCATGTGCCCAGACTCTGAACCCCCCAAAACCACCACAAGACCAGATCGGATGCAAAAGCAGAGTCTTTTTTTTAATTTACAAGTTAACCCGGGACCTCTGTCCATCAGACACAGTGGGTGGAGCAAGAGGGATCCGGAGCAGCAGTGGGACAGGACATACATTGGGGTAGAACAAGGGGAGTATCTGGGGGTCTGCTAGTTGCATAGCAACAGATTGATGCACCTCTGGGCTTGGGCAACCTTTCCTGAGTTGATTGGTCCCCTGAAGCTGCAGAAATGTAGCTATACCTAGAGGCCCTCTCAGAGTGGTTGCTACACTCTGCATCCCACTGTTACCAGTAAAACACATCCAGAGCCCACCAGCTAACTTCTGATTGGTTCCTTGCCACATGGAGGGGATCTGGCTTCCTAGTAATTAGGGCAAGTCGGGAGCTCAGCACATGTCGCTGAGTCAGGGGCCTACTGGGTCTTTTCTGCAGCCTGTCATGGCTGCCAAAGCAGGGGGCTGGGTGAGGTTCTGGGTCCTTCACTCAAATGGCAGCATGCTATCTCATCTCTGAAAACACATGGCAGCTCCTCCTCCTACTTCAGTCTTAAGTGAAGCAGTCTAACCACTATAGATTCCTCATTCTATATACTTTTAAAGTTGCATCTTAAAACGGTAAATTTTCAGTGTGTGTGTGTGTGTGTGTGTGTTTGTGAAATCCTAAATCTCCAGGCCACCAACTGTGACTAGAAATGCCCAGCACCCATGTAACTGATGGTCCTGATGTTGCTCCTAGCGGCCCTCACAGGCAAGTGTCAACCCCAGTTCTCCCCATTTTCAGCAATGAATAGCTGTGGTTTGCCCTGTACTGGAGCTGAGACTCCAAACTAGAGCTTCCCTGCTCTCCCCTCTTTCCTGCCACAGATGGCCCTGCAGAGAGCTGAGTTCTGCATTCAGACTTGAAAAACTGAAGTTTAGGGCTGGGGAAATGGCTCAGAGGTTAAGAGCACTGACTGCTCTTCCAGAGGTCCTGAATTCAATTCCCAGCAACCATATGGTGACTCACAGCCATTCGTAATGAGATCTGGTGCCCTCTTCTGGTTTGCATGGGTACATGCAGACAGAAAACTGTATACATAATAAATAAATCTTAAAACACACGCGCGCACAACAAAAAAAGTATGCTTCCTTCCTGCAGCCTTAGGAAGACGTTAAAAGAGAAACTGAAGTGTAAGAGAAAATAATAAAACCTCAGATGGGTGTAGTGGCACACACACGAAGCCTGAGGAGGATACCTGGGCTCCGTGAGAAAAAAAAAAAGGCAAAAATAACAACAACAAAAAAGTAGAAAAGAAAATCTGATGGGGTATCTGCTATTCTGAAACAGTCAACAAAAAGAAAATATTAGCAACTCGTAGTGGGGTGTGGAAGCAGTGTGAGAGAAACCCGTGTGAGGTGGCGGATAAAGCAAATGAGCCGCTTCCGTGTGAGGAGAGGATTGGTGACAGGAAGCTTACAGCGGTTCGGCTGCAAGGTCAGGATTAAATCTGAGGATGTGCAGGGACTTTATCCAGAGCACCGAGGTGATTTAGGCAGCTGACAGCCGCGGGGGTTCCTGCTTGCTTTTCTCTTGACACTGCATGTTTCCATCCTTGCAGGTAAGAGACTAGATTGCTTGCAGCCTGCATTTCCCAGAGGCACCTGCAGCCGCTTAACAGAATCTTGGGCAGTCTGTTTCAAAGTGGCTGACTCCTCAAGTCACCTGTGTGAGTCATCACCAGCTTCAGGTAAAGCTGAGTGTTCGTCCCCATCTCCCCTGGGGGCCTTTGATGCACGGGAAGCCAGCGGGCCATTTCTCATGGTTGTACATGTGCTTCATTCAGGGTTTCCAAACTGAAAAGTATTTTGGAAAACAAGCATAATGGATAGGAGGTCAGAACTTTGAATGGCAATTAGTGTGCCTTTTAAAGAAAGAGGAAATGCTGACTTAAAATATTTTAATTACATTTATTTGCATGCGCGTGCGTGCGTGCGTGCATGTGTGTGTGTGTGCGTGCATGCTCACATGTGTTTGTGGGGGCCCTAGTGCCACAGAGTGCTAGTGGAGGCCAGAGAACAACTTTTTGGGTGATAGTTTTCTGTTTCTACCATGTGGGTTCGAGGTTATCAGGCTTGGCAGCAAATGCCTTTCCCTGCCGAACCACCTTGAAGGCCCAAAGCTGACTTAAGGTAAAGCTCAAGTTCCAGGTATTCATAATGTTAGACCCCCGAAAACTCAAGTATCCGGGGTCCCAGGCCACGTTCGCGGTCACCCCAATCACCAGGCAGATTCGAGAGCTTGCTGCAAACTGCACGAGGCTTTATTGTAATTTAACGAGCTAACCCCATGTTAGCTCGGGTCTTTCACCCACCCACCATGGCGGATGGCTAGAAAAGACGGCTCCTAGGGGCTCCCCAGAGATCTTTTAGGACAGCGTAAGGGGAGTGTCTAGGGGTACGCACAGACTCAGGATTGATGTGCCTCCAGGCTTGGAGGGCTTGCCCTGTGTTGATTGGTCAACTGGTTGTTATGGCCCATAGGCCCTCCCAGGGTGGTTGCTATGCTCTCTACGTCATTGCTGTGCGCTTGTCAGCAAAGCACACCCCGGGTCATAAAGCATAGCGCCACCAGCTAACTTCTGATTGGTTCCTTGTCACGAGACAGACATCTGACTTTCTAGTGTCTAGAACAAGGGCATAGAAGCATGTGTTCGGCCGTTATGGCTGCCAAAAGGGAAGCTGGTCCCGTCAATAATGATCACTTGCTTGATAAAACACCTTTTAATGGCTTTTTCATACTCCCTGCCTCTTTACCCTATAAATTACACCTGCCTAGAATCCTTGATTCTGGGGACACTTAAACCAAGGCACTGGTTAGTTTTTTAATCCATATAATGTCCTGCCAGTAATAAAAAGAAAAAATTAAAGATAGCAGGGCTGGGTATATAGCCAGTTGGTAGAGTGCTTGCCTAGTGTATGTGAAGTCTAGGGTTCAATCCCCAGCACCACCTAAACCAGATGTAGTCACACACCTCTAATCCCAGCACTTGGGAGGTGGAGGCAGGAGGATGAGAAGGTCAAGATCATCTGGTTAGTCTTTAGCTAGACAGTGAATTTGAGGCCTGCAAGGGCTACATGGGACCCTGCTTCAAAACAAGAGAAACCAATCAAACAACAACAGCAAAAATCAAAAAACTGAAGTAGTTGATCATAAGGTATTGTGTATTAGCTGGGCAGGGTGGCGCACGCCTTTAATCCCAGCACTGGGGAGACAGAGGCAGGTGGATCTCTGTGAGTTTGAGACCAGCCTAGTCCAAAGACAGGTTCCAGGACAGCCTCCAAAGCCACAGAGAAACCCTGTCTCGAAAAACCAAAAAAAAAAAAAAAAAAAAAAATCAAAGGATGTAGCAATTTGGAAGGCAGATGCAGATACAATCCAAGAGTGGCATGTTATAGTGATTTCCTGAGTCACAAGCAGGATTAACTTTGAAGAAACAATTTGCTGATTTGGTGAACTATTTGGTAAGATTTAATGTGCAATGAATTAAATTAATTCTTCAATGGTGGTAGCATTTGTTTCAAAATTACAAACTATTTTGTGTTTATAAAGAAAGTTGATTTCTAAGTTCAAATCATTCTAGGTTTGGCTTGGGTTTGTTTCTCCAGTGAGATGAGAGTCACAATGATTGTCTTAGTTAGGGTTTCTATTGCTGTGAAGAGACACCGTGACCACACAACTCTTCCAAATGAAAACATTTAATTGGGGTAGCTCGCTTACATTTTCAGAGGTCCAGTCCATTGTCATCATGTCGAGGAGCATGGTGGCATGCAGGCAGACACGGTGCTGGAGAAGGAGCTAAGAATCCTACATCTTGCAGGCAACAGGAGATGGCTCAGTGCATAAAGGCTGACAACCCGGGATTGGTCCCCATGACCCACATGGTAGAGGAAGAGAACTGACTCCTGAAAGTTATCCTCTGACCCCAAACCTGAGCTGAGTCACACACATGAGTGTGTGCATGTGTGTGTGTGCGTGTGTGTGTGTGTGTGTGTGTGTGTGTGTGTGTGTGTGTATGTTTAAACTAGTTTAAAAGGTTTATTTTAGAAAAACAATGGAGTAGGGGAGTGTTTATGGAATACTAGTTTTCTTTTCCACACAGCTAGTAGTGTTAGACCCCCGAAAACTCAAGTATTCCGGGTCCCAGGCCACGTTCGTGGTCACCCCAATCGCCAGGCGGATTCAAGAGCTTGCTGCAAACTGCACGAGGCTTTATTGTAATTTAACGAGTTAACCCCATGTTAGCTCGGGTCTTTCCCCCACCCACCATGGCGGACGGCTAGAAAAGACGGCTTGAAGCCGCTGTGCATAGATCTTTATAGGGCAGTGTAAGGGGAGTGTCTAGGGGGGACGAACCGGCTTACGCACAGGCTCACGATTGGTGTGCTTCCAGGCTTGGAGGGCTTGCCCTGTGTTGATTGGTTCACTGGTTGTTATGGCTCATAGGCCCTCCCAGGGTGGTTGCTATGCTCTCTACATCATTGCTGTGCGCTTGTCCGTAAAGCACACCCAGAGCCATAAAGCATAGCACCACCAGCTAACTTCTGATTGGTTCCTTGTCACGAGACAGGCATCTGACTTTAGTGATTAGGTCAAGGTCATAGAAGCACATGTTCGACCATTATGGCTGCCAAAAGGGAAGCTGGTTCCTTCAGTAGCAGTTGATTTGGAGAGGAAGTGTTGCTGGCCAAGGCTGTGTTCTATGTGATGTAGATCCCAGTATGTGTGATCTAGTACTTGGCTTGCAGGATAACCATTGTTGAGATTATACTTGAGTAAACTGAGTACTGTGTGTCTGCTGTGGCCAAGTGACTATATGCCATTTGTCAGTCTTCTTCCTGTTTCTGACTTCCCTTTCCAAGCTCCAGCAGGGAGGATGAAACAGTCAGACAGAGGAGGAGAGGTGACCGACAAGGACGGAACACTCACCACGGCAACCAGTCCTGAGAATGGTATGTGTCACCAGAGCTCCTTTTCTAGCCCCGAGGAGACATATATAGTAATATCTGAATATGTGATCAAGTACACGGGGACACTTGCTGTGATCCTTATGGGGGGCTCGTTCTGCACCTTTGCCCACTAGCACTAATGTCAATAAATCTGAGGGCAACTGTCAGTGCAAGAAAGACAATTGCGGTGGGAGAGGCAGAGCCCCACCAGGCCACACTGTTTTATATAAAACTCAGACCCGCATGACTTGCTCACATTCACTTGAAAGACACTTGTTTTTATAATGAAAAAAATTAAGGATTTACTATGCATGTAGTTCCTTTACTCAGTAGAATGTTGAAATTTCTATTAGGAAGTCTAAGGGGGACTGGCAAGATTGCTCAGTGAGTGAGGGTACTTGTCATCAGAGCCGGTGACCTCGAGTTAGAAGGAGACAACCAAGTCCCTCAAATTGTCCTCTGACCTCCACAGGGCACCAAAATAAACACACACACACACACACACACACACACACACACACACAATGGATGGATGGATGGATGGATGGATGGATGGATGGATGGATGGATGGATGGATGGATGGATGGATGTGAAAAGGTGTAATGGGAGAGCCAGCCGGATGGCTCAGTAGGTAGAGATACTTGCTGTCAAGGCTGACAACATGAGTTCAATCCCTGGGACCTACATGGTTTTAAAGAGAGACCCGACTCCTGCAAGTTATCCTCTGGCTTCCACACAAATGCTGTGCCATGCCTGGCCACCCTGCCCTACACAAAGAAATAAATAACTCAATGTAATTTTAAAACGCTAAAATACGGGGCTGGAGAGATGGCTCAGAGATTAAGAGCATGACTGCTCTTCCATAGGTCCTGAGTTCAATTCCCAGCAACCACATGGTGGCTCACAGCCATCCATGAGATCTGGTGCCCTCTTCTAGTGTGCAGATATACATGGAAGCAGAATGTTGTAAAAATAATAAATAAATAAAATATTTTTTAAAAAAGCTAAGTGCAATGGGAGAGGTTTTCATTAATACTTTCAATAAGTATTTTCAGAAAGGGTACACATAACCAACTGTGTTTGACTTCGAGAAAGAAGGTCCAGAAAACAGCTGGATGGGTTAGGGATACATTCCTGTCTGGTAAGGTGGAAGAGGGAAAGAGATTGCATTGTTCTCATGGTATCTCATGTCTACACACTAACTACCAGTCATCTACTTTTACTTTCAGAGAAAGCTAGCTTATTCGCAGTTTGCCAAAAGTAACCTTTTCACATAGTCACTCGGTCTTCTGAAATTTATGGTGTAAATGATGGGACAGGGCTTGAGCCACCCCCCCTTAGACATTAAATCCAGTGTTGTTCCCACTCATCCAGTGACTGGCAAGCCCAGCATTCTTAGCAGCTTTGGCCACACCAGCTTCCTTGCCACCACTAACCACCTGCTGGCCTCTGGCCTCCTTCTCTAGGCCTCTCTGGAATCCTGAGGCTCCTCCTGCAGGAACTGAGTCTTTTCTATAGTCGAGATGTGAATGGCTTGTGTCTCTTATATGACCTCCTCCACTCCCCATGGCTGCAGGCTCTTTTAAAGGTGAGTTTGGAAAGCCTTTGCTTGCTCTGGCTGGAAAAAAACAGTATCTTGGTCCATTCTGGTTACTGTAAAAGCATGCCAAAAATGTTGGTTTATTTATTTGCTTTTTAAAGTAAAACTGCATCTTCTTTGTTTTGCATACTTTTAATTTCACAACAAAAACAAAACAAAATAAAAACAAACAGCAGCAACAACAAAAATCTCCATAAAACCCCGATACACAACACTCGATCTTGCTGTCAGGTAAGGAGAAAATTTTCCTGTCTTAAAAAACAAGGACAGGGGCTGGAGAGATAGCTCAGAGGTTAAGAGCACCACCAACTGCTCTTCCAGAGGTCCTGAGTTCAATTCCCAGCAACCACATGGTGGCTCACCACCATCCCTTATGAGATCTGGTGCTCTCTTCTGGTGTGCAGATATGCATGGAAGCAGAATGTTGTATGCATAATAAATAAATAAAATATTTTTTAAAAAAGAAACAAGGACAGGAAAGAAGTAACCAGCAGAGAGTTGGATGGGTGAAGGCCAGGCATGGCTGCTGGAGGAGCCATAGGAAAAATGATGCAGAGCTTGCAGGCTTTCCAGAGGGAACTCTAAACTGCTCCCATGTGAGATGCATTCTCAGCATCCTTACATAGGAGGTCAGCATCAGGGACAGTGATGCCTAACTCCTCCACTGATGCCTCACTGGGTCTTCATCAGTGCCCAGGCCAATTGTGATCATATTGGAGTTGCTCTGAGAAGCCAGAAAGGAGAAGCATGACTTTTAACAACAGTGCCATGGATCCTTGACGGCCCTGTTTTTTTGTCAGTCTCAGTCAACTGCTGCAGGATCTCTACAATTGGGTGGTCAGGGTTGGTTTCCAAGTGCTTTTTGACCATGATGTAGCTCATGATAGAGCTGTCTCGTGGTGCCTGGGCCTTCATGAACTGCTCTGTGTTTGCTGTCTAGCTACAGGTGCTTATCATAACACAGCAGAGTGAGGACTCATGCCCATTGCAGGTTGCCACCTTCTCCACTTTCTTATCAAGAATCTCCTTCACGATCTTGCAAAGATTCTCAAAACTTCACCTGCTCTCCTCCACTTTTTTTCTGGTGTCTCTAGACCATCTTTGTCCAGAGACCAGGCTCCTCCCATCAGCTGCTTGAGCTGATGCATGCCGTACTTGTCAAGAGGAAGTGTGCTCCCTCACATACTCGTGAAGGCAGAGTTGGTCACCCATTCTTTGTTCTCACCAGTGATGCCATAGATGGACTTCTGCATCTCCTTCATGTCAAACACGTACTCTGACACGGGAGTCATCTCTTCTCCAGGCTGAGAGGCATGGCAGCACAGTAGCTCAGAGAAGCTTCACTGGTGAGTGGAAGCTTTAAGGACTCCAAGCTTTAGATTCTTCGTGAATACTTTGTAAAACTTCTTGTAGTTTTCTTCCAGCTTCAAGAGTCGAAGGCCGCCCTTCTGAATGTTTTTATGGATGACTTTCAAGGCTTTGCTCTTTTGAAGCATTTTTTGGAGATGTTCAAAGTCAGGTCCTCAGAATCAACCACACCACAGATGAAGTGGAGATACTTGGCTGTCCATTATAAGCATATGATGGGCATAGTTGGATGTTGTTCCTCTCGTTTTCAAAGGGGTCAAAGAATAAATAGCAATGTCCTGGATTCTGGCTAGCCTTCTACAGACGAGTGCTTGACTGCCAAGTGTCTTCCCAGTCTGGTGAGGCTCTTACAGAATCCCTCATATTCCTCCTGAGTTACGTATGTCATCAGTGTTTCTGGTCCAAAGGGGGTTGGCCTTGTTCAGTTCTTCTGATCAACACACTTATCCTTAGTCTTCTTTTTCTCTTTGCCAGTGTCCTCATCTGATCCCACATCTTCAGGCTTAGGCTTTTTCTCTTCATCCTTATCTTTTTCTCCTTTCTCTTTGTCTACGTCATCATCACTGATCTCCTGAGAGTGATGGGAAAGCCATCAGGAGGAGCGCTTCTTCACCACCAACTTTCTTCTCCTCTATTCTGCTGGTATTATGAAAAGTAAAGGATCACTTTGGATGGTAGAGCAAGCTCTGTAAAGTACCTGCCTGACATGCACAAAGCCCTGGGTTAGATCCCAGCACTGTGCAAAACAGCTATGTCAGTTACTGCTCCCTTTCTGTGAAGCAACGCCATATCCAAGGCAACTCTTCTAAAAGAAGGCATTTGGCTGAAGGTTGCTTATAGTTTTGTAGGGTTAGTCCAGGATCTTCATGACAGGAAGCAGAAAGGCATGCCACTGTAACAGAGCTGTATATCCTGATCCATGGGCAACCCAAAGAGAGTGAGACCCTGGGCCTGTAATGGGCTTTTGAAACCCAAAGCTCCTCCAGCAAGGCCACACCCACTTCAACAAGGTCACAGCTTCTAATCCTTCCCAAACAATACCACTCCCTAGTGACTAAACATTTAAATATATGAGCCTATGGGAGCCATTCTCTTTCAAACCACTGTACCAGGTGAGGTGGCACATGCCTGTAATCTTAGCACTCAGGAAGTAGGGCGTGGTATAATCAGAAGTTCAAAGTCATCCATGGCTACAAAGTCAAGTTGAAGGCAGCAACCTGGAATCAATGAGACCCTGTCTCCAAAAAAGTGGGGGAGAAGATACAGAGAGAAAGAGAGAGACAGAGTCAGACAGACACACCACACACACACACACACACACACACACACACACACAGAAAGAGAGAGAGAAAGACAGACAGACAGACAGACAGAGACAGAGAAACAGAGAGAGACAGAGACAGAGAGAGACAGAGACAGACAGAGACAGACAGACACATCCCTGTTAGCTTTGGAAGCAGTTAGGAATGAAAAAGTGTGTCTGCTCCTTTCTTTACTGTCCCCAACTTATTTTTTCAGAAGCCTCTAGGATCACAAACCAATTACCACAATGGCCACCAGCAACTCCCTCTCAGTGCCCCACAATCCTTTGTTCTTAAGGCCAACCCTGGACAAATAGTGCTTTTATGAAAAGCCGCTCGTGGATGGGCATGGTGGTGCACACCTTTATTCCCACACTTGGGAGGCGGAAGCAGGTGGGTCTCTGTGAGGCAGCCTTACCTACATAGTAAGTTTCAGGTAGTGGGGAACACATATTGAAACCCTGTCTCTAGAAATTGCTGAAAGCCTTTGTCATTTATTACAGAAGTAGCAATTAACATTCTAGGTATCAACCCACCAGATTTAACTTCTGATGAAAAAAAAAAAACTTGCCTTGCAAAGTCTGCAAAAAATACAGACTCCATCATATTTGTTGCTATAAATTTGGCTGTATAATCTTGATATATAGACTATATACTGGGTGCTTAATATTCTCAAAAAGGCCCCAGAGAAAGGAAATTCTTTCTCACCAGGCAGGACTCAGTGGTAAGTTCCCACTGCCTGCCCCGAGGCTGGAGGCAGCAGCCTCTGGATCTCACACTGCATAGCTGTAGTGTTTCCTTTGATATAGCACTGAGAAGGCCCCTTGAACCAGCTAATAGCGTTTTACAAGTCATGTCCCCTTTGAGACACTAGGTGTCCTGCTTTTGTCAAGACTTTATCTGTCTTCCTGGCTCTGAGAGATTATGCCTGATATCTTTGCTGTATCAGAGAACTGGTAGTTGTGTCTGTGGGAATATAAACTGGAAGCCTTGTGGGAGAAAAAGAGCTTTTTGTGAGAAGTTTTAGAAAGAACTTGTAAAGAATTTTTAAGGAGGAGAATTTTTTTTTCCAGGTTTTTTGAGACAGGGTTTCTCTGTGGCTTTAGAGGCTGTCCTGGAACTAGCTCTTGTAGACCAGGCTGGTCTTGAACTCACAGAGATCCACTTGCCTCTGCCTCCCGAGTGCTGGGATTAAAGGCGTGCGCCACCACCGCCTGGCATTAAGGAGGAGAATTTTTAAGGAGACCATCTAGAGAGAACTTTAAGAGCTTTTAGAGGGAGAACTTCTTGAAGAGAAAATTTTAGAGGGAACTTTTGGGGGGAAATCTTAAAGAAAGCTTATTGAGAGAGAACTTTTGGGAAGAACATTTTCCGAAGAATAAAGAGCCTTGAGAAAAATGATGCCTGTATGAACTGATTCATTGGCCCTCAGGTCATTTTAGTCTGCCTCAGCCCGCCTGCTGTAAGCCTCTTGCCTAAACCCTCAACAAGAAGCAAAACAAAATGCCATTCCTTTTTTGTTAAAATCGGGAACTTAAAACATCCATGGATCTGGTTGGCACTCTTATCCTGGTAGAGTTTTTTTAAATTTGATTAAAATTCTGTGCATCATACAGAGTAGATGTTCTGAACAAGTGTTCTTAAGAAAGATCCCTTAAGATTGCTGTGAGTGTTTCTTCTGATTAAGCATGAAAATATGGTCAGCCTTATGACGCGTGCTTTAGTCTTTAGAATTGAAGTGGTAACATCTTCTGTATGACCAAAGATACATCATTTGTTTTAAATCACTTGACCCCAGGTCTCATGTTGACCCTTGGCTTGCCTGGAACTCACTATGTAGACCATGCTTAGCTAGCACTTGATCCCTACCAGGAAACACACACACACACACACACACACACACACACACACACACACACACACACACATTTCCCAGGGCCAGGAGTTTGAGTTTCATTATACATGCTCCCCCGGCTCACCATCTTTGGTGAGAACAGGCTCTCTGAGCTTAGTACTACCTACAGCTGTCAATCAACCTAGGCCACTCCCACACACTCTTGGGTATGAGCTCTACAGTACGGCAGGAAGCTCACTCATCACAGTTATAAATGGGAAAGGCTAATCTTCCTCTTGAACTGACTTTCTCTATCTGTAAGAGAAATTGGATTACCAGAATAAGATGAAGGGCAGCACTGTGAAGCTGGACTCCTCATCCAGTAGAGAAAAGAATCCTCAAGGGTCAGGGGAGATGAAGCTGGAATTTGCACAAATGAATCCACACTGGAGAATTGCCTGAGAAGGGGCACTGAACAACTTCAGAGAACACAGCAGAGCATGGATGAGCACATTCCGAATGTCTGGCTTCGGGACCCTTGGTGGGTCGTGAGCCCACACGATTCATGCCCTGTACAACTGCCCAGCACAGAGGTCTTAGGGGGGTCTCTACCCCATAGACCCTCCCTTGAGAAGCCCCCATGTCATGTACATTGTCCATAGATCCCTGTTAGTGTCAGCATCAGAAATCTTCTCTACCTTTCTCACTTTAACAAGGGCAACATTTGCATACGTTTTATTCATGAAATTGCTCTGGGGCTATCAGTCTCCTGGTGGCAGCCAGGAGTGAAGCCTCTGAAGCACTGGGACCTCCACTCAGCCGCTAAAGTCACACAGTGTCACTTGTTCAGGTGTCAACACAGCCGCATCGGCTGTTTCTTCCTTTGAGAGCCTTTACTCTAAAATGGTACTGGTCACATCTTCCATGTCACTCTCCCTTCTGCAGGTCTATGACTGTCTCCAGAAGTTTAAAGAAAGGAAACCAGTTCCTGCGACAACTCATGCGCAGATCTTATGCTGTGAGGTAAGATGGCTCTACCCAGAAGACCTATAGAGCCTTTGCTGATGTCCTCTGACCAGTAGTTTGTTTAAATGAGTGGAGGTTTCTGTTGGAAGAGCTTGGCAAATGAGTATGCATTTTAATAAATGTTAATTGGAATTAATATAAGGAAGAAAATTGTCTTCCAAAATTAACACACATGCAAACACGCACCCGCACACACACATACACGCATGCACATTCTTAGCACATGACTATCTCTGCCTTTGCTCCGTCCTTTATGTTCAACTGGCCCTATTATACAAGCTGACATTGCAGTAATTATTCTCCAGTTTCTATCTCTAATGTGGACCTTGTTTGGACTCCAGTCTTCGCTGTCTAACTTCCTTCTCCCCATTTTACTGGATGTTGGATGAACACCTCAAGCTTAGCATGCTTTCAACATGTCCCCTTCAACTCACGGCTCTCATAGCCCTTCCTGTCTCAGTCAATGACAGCTCCACTGTCAGGCCAGAATCTTGGGGATAACCAGTGAGTCTATTTTTCTCTCGTATCTCATGCAATCTTGTGGCAAACCCTGCTAGCTCCACCTCCAAATACATCCGGACCCTCACCAGTCTTGTGCCACCTAATATAGTTCAGTACAGGCCATTGACACGCCTTACACAAATAACTAGGTGTCACCTCCACTGACTCTTTCGGCTCTACCATTGCTCCCTCATGTCTGCTTCCAGCAGAGAAGCCAAAGGCATTTTCCTTAAAAGCAAGCCAGACCGTGCTGTTTCTCTGCCCCAGTCCTCCTCAAGACCTCCCATCTGTGAAAAAAAAAAAAAAAGCCCAAATTCTAACACACTTGAACATGCCTGGGCCTCTCTGGTGGCTTTATCTCACATTTACTTCCTCCACCTGCTCTCTCATCTCCAGTCTTGTTGGCTTCATGGTCGACAAGCTCCTGATGCATCCTTTGTGCTCTTGCCCTTCCCTAAGCCATGGGCGTTCCTGCTCGTGAGCCCTCATGATCTTCCTATTCCACTCCTCAGAAGGCCACGTTCTGGGAAAAGCTTTTCCTGGCCACTCATCTAAAACTGGGCCCCTTCCTGGAACTCCCTGGCCAGCTCCCTGCTTTATTTTCCCTCATAACTCTTTATATCAGACAAAAATGTTCATTTCTGTTTCATTTATTGCCTAGGCCTCCTCACTAGGATGTGAGCTCCGAGACAGTGAGAATTTTTGTTTGTTTTATGTCCACTACATGCAATGTGTTCAAAGCCATAGGAAAAAAATCAAAAAGTGGGGGAGAAAGAAGGAAGAGACTATACCCTCCATTCCAGCAATCGGCAATTCAAACTGTCCCCAGATGTCTGCAGGATACCATACACATGTCATCTTACTCACTGTAACCCCAGGGGACAGGCGTGAAGCCTATAACCTGCATGTTTTATTTGGCCTTGGGCAGTGACGCATGGGTGCTGAGGATTCATACTCTGAAATCGGGTTTACAGTTCATTCTAAGTCATTTCATGTTTGCAGCAAGTATCGAAATTACTGATAAAATGATACACTTTTTAAAGATTTTATTTGTTTATTATGTATACAACATTCTGCTTCCATGTATATCTGCACACCAGAAGAGGGCACCAGATCTCATCATGGATGGTTGTGAGCCCCCATGTGGTTACTGGGAATTGAACCCAGGACCTCTGGAAGAGCAGTCAGTGCTCTTAACCTCTGAGCCATCTCTCCAGCCCAAAATGATACACTTTTAAATAAAAAAAAATCATCATTCCCACTTTCTACTCAAAGAATGGAGCTTCTCGTGAGTCTGCATGGCCTGAATTCTGTCTGTGGCTTCATCTGCCTATAATGCACTGACATTAAGATCCATTTTAGCAACCACAGGGGGAAAGGCCTTGCTACATGGGCTATCATGGGTTTAATCTGTCTTGAGCCTTGGCTTCTATCTGCTGTAGTAAAGTTTAATAGCTAAGGAAAGACTAGGCCCTGTCTCTGGAGACAGAAAAGGAGGCTTCAGTAACAACGTCACTTAGGTCAACATCATGTCAGTACATCTATCTTTCAGCCTGTTTGAAGTCGACCAAGAGATAAAGATTATTGTTATTTATGTGTAAATGTCTGTGTAAGTGTATGTTACATGTGTGGTGATTCCCTCAGAGGCCAGCTGGAGTTATGGGCAGTTGTGACCCACCTGAATGGGTGATGGGAATCAGACTTGAGTCTTCTAAAAAAAAGCAGCAAGCTCTCATAACCCCCAAGCCATCCCTCCAGCCCCCGGTGATAAAAATTTTAAGTATTTTATTTCATTTCATTTTGCTTTTTGGAAGCAGGGTCTCACCTGTAGGCCAGGGTGGTCTGTGACTCACTTTGTAGCCAAGCTAGCTTCAGAGTTTTGGTGACCCTCATGACTCAGTCTCTCAAGTGCTAGGATTACAGGTATAAGACACCCAGCTTAAATATACTTTATGCTGTACATTTTTCCATCATGAATCAGGTCTTGGAGCTACTGCCCAAGGCCTCCAGTTCTCCTGAGATCCAAGAGCTAAGACAAGTCCTCCAGGCTCCACACTGCAAGGTAAGCAGTTGCTAAAATGGACAAAATCTGCCCATCTGGCGTATGACAGAGGTGGGAAGAGTAAATAAAAACAATATAAAATGTTAACTCTGGCCAGGCGTTGGTGGCGCACGCCTTTAATCCCAGCACTCAGGAGGCAGGCGGATCTCTGTGAGTTCGAGGCCAGCCTGGTCTCCAGAGCAAGTGCTAGGATAGGCTCCAAAGCTACACAGAGAAACCCTGTCTCGAAAAAAAAAATGTTGTCTCTGGTTATATATTCTGTTTCTGTACATGGACAACCAACAGATTATACTTGAAGGTATGGGGCTCACATGTGATTGAGTAATCATTGAACCAGTGCTGTCACATGTATGAGGAGGCACCCAGAGCTTTCCAGGGTGTCTTGTTCTCCTAAAAGGATACTATCCCTGCAGAATTCTGGGCAGTTATCTGGGGTAGCTTCTGCTTACAAAGAAATAATCTCCTTACTTTCCACATTGGAAAGATTTTGAGTTTTGAATACAAAATATGAAATTATTTGAGATATGTATTTATTTGTATATATGTATATGTGCCTTTGGGTGTTTATTGCACCACATGTGTGCAGATGCCTGCAGAGACCAGAAGGGGGCATCAGATCCCCTGGCACTGGAGTCACAGACAATTGTAAGCTGCCTGATGTGGGCGCTGGGAGCAGAACCCAGGTCCACTGAAAGAGTAAGCTCTTTATCTCTCCATCCCCTGGAAGAGATTGCTGTGCACTTTTTAACCTCTGTATTCCCTGACCCCTTGTCCATAAACAGGGAGTAATAAATATACCTATCTTATAGGGTGACTGTGACTGAAATTTGCTTAGAATCATGCCTGACATATAGGTGTAGTGTTTGCAGTTGTGTGTCTGATATAATATCGCGTCACCATCTTTGAGATGCTCGTGTGTCATGTGGGACATTTACTCACCTTTCCCTTTCTGTTCCCAGGCTTTGCTCAGTGCCCATGATACAGTAGCTCAGAAGGATTTTGAACCCCTTCTCCCCCCACTGCCGGACAATATCCCCGACAGTGAAGAAGCAATGAGGATTGTTTGTTTAGTGAAAAACCACCAGCCCCTGGTAAGGAAATAATTCTATCTTTTGTTTAGGGCTATGCCAGGGTCCACTGTGATCTAAGTCGTATCTAATGGTTACTTGAATGCAGTTTTGTCTCAATCACACACACAGAGTGGAAATAATGGCATGGTAGCTAGTGTAATTGTCCCTGTGGTTCGAACACACTGCTGGTCATGTTTTCATGACCAAAGGGCTTCTGTTTAGTGTATTTCTTTTATGAGAAGACAAGACATAATATAAACTTCTCTGGTGAAAACAAGACATCTGTATTATATATTTTATTTGTCATTCATGTATTTTACTCAATTCTAATACATTAGCCTACATCTTTCTCTTCTACTAATAGGAAGTGGGTAAGATGTTAGCTGACTCTAAGAGCACTTCTTTCCATTGTGTTACAATCATGGACACTTTATTTTTGGAAGGTTCTAGATATTGTCTGTCTGTATATCATATGGAGGCCTTATGAAGCCAAGGTCTGATGGCTTTTCTTTTTTGATGGCATGATGTGGCTGATGGCCACAGGGCGATCGGGGCAACTTCTGTTTAGTTAAAAAAAAAAATCCTGTCTAAAAGACAAGAGCTGTGCTGACTGAGGGAAGCTACCAGAAAAATAGTTGTGTTAGTAAGCCCAGAATTCATTGTGTTCTCTCTTCAGGGAGCTACCATCAAGCGCCATGAGATAACAGGGGATATCCTGGTGGCCAGGGTCATCCATGGCGGGCTGGTGGAGAGGAGTGGTAAGCTGGGGTGGCACTGTGTAAGCCAGACACAGGGGACACTGGATTCCATGTTTTTTCCAGAAGCAAGAAGTCTCTTTCTGCACTTAGGTCAGGGCCTTCAGATGTCCCTTTGCTTGGCTAGAGCAGTAAAAGAAACCAGGAACAAATGTTTCAAGAGACTCCAGCACCCTTGTCCAGAGAGCCCCTACAAGGGATGCATTCTTGTGAACATTCTCAAGGCAACCAAACTAAGCAAGCATTATCATGACATTTTACAGATAGAAGAACTGGGTCTCACGGAGGAGGAGTAATTAATTTGATCAGGTTACTCAGTTTGAGTCGGGACTCAAGTCCCTGATTCTGTATTTCCAGCCTTTTGACCCTTCTGCTTCCAAAATGGCAGAGCTCTTGTTCATCTTGGCCTGGCAATTGTTTGTGCTTTCTGCCTATCACAGCCCCCTTTCGCCTCTGTGTTTCCACAGCTGCCTCATGTCCTTGTCGCCCACTGCCCCCTGGAATCTGCAAGTGGCTGGCAGCCTGACACCCTTCTAGAAAATCCTAAGGTGTTCCTCATTGCAAGTCCCCTGACCCTTCTTTCATCTTTCTGCCTCAGGACCATCATTATTCTTGATTTCTCTCCAGATGGTCATCCTGTTGCTTAAACCTCCCATCACTCCTGATATTTCTCAAGGTGTTAAAAAACACCAACACATAATAATCACGTATATTAGCAAGCTACTGTGTTAAAATGTAGTGATAATCGAGGTATTTGCTTTCTCTTTTTTGAATTGAAAATAATTTTTTCATACAGTATATTCTGATCACAGTTTTCCCTTCCCTGTCTCCCAGATCCTCCCCACCTCCACACCTTCTCCTTTCTTTAGAAAACAAACAAAACAGAACAAATTTTTTTTTAAGAAAAGAAAATAGTATGAGAAACATACACAAACAAAATACAAAATTGGAGACCACAACATATAAGCAATCAACCAGTGAGGTAAAAATGTTTTAAACAAAGCAATATAAGACCAAAAAAGTCTACAAAAATACCATTGAGTTTGTTTTGTGTGCGGCCTCTGCTGTTGGGTGTGGGGCGTGGTTTGTATACCTAGTGAGACTCCTTGTTAGGGCTCATGTCGTTTTCCCCCTCAGTGCTGGGTCCCTGTGTGACTTGGACCTGTGCTTTCTGCCACAGTTTCTGAGTTGTTGTGTGAGTCATGTTGTGTCTGGAAGACACTGTGTCCTTGGTGTCATCCATCCCCTGGACTCTTACAATCCTCCACCCCTCTTCTTCACAGTTCCCCGAGCCCCGAGAGGAGGGGTTTGAAGGAGATATCCCATTTAGGGCCGAGTATGTCCCTGTCTCTCACTCTTTGCACATTGTTGAGTTGTGGGTCTCTGGATTTGTTCCCATCCACTGCATGAGGAAGCTTCTCTGATGATGACTTCTCTGATGATGACTGAGCACAACACTGATGTCTGGGTATAGCAAGATGTTGCTAGGAGCTATTTTATTGCTGTGATCCATTAGCAGAACAATGCATTTGGTTTTGCCTAGGCCCATGGCTACCCAAGCATTGTCAGGTGTGGAATCTTAATTCCCTTCTCCTTAAGTGTCCACTGCTTATTTATACTGAGGAATCTTGTGGTCCTTCCTCCTCTCTGCCTTTAAACTAAAATGCACAGCCCATTATTCTGACATGCAGGCCTCCTACAATGCTTTAGAACATTAGAGTTAAAGGCTTCAGCCTTGTATATATGTGTCTGTATATGTGTGTGTGTGTGTTTATAGGTGTGTATGTGTATGCATGTTTATGTGGGTTTATGTATGTATATGTGTGTGTATTTATATGTGTATATGTAGGTTTATATGTGTGTGTTTATGTATGTGTGTATGTATGTTTATATGTTTACCTGATTATGTGTGTTTATATGTATGTGTATGTATGTGTTTGCATGTGCATTTGTGTATATGTGTCTTGTGTGTTTATATGTTTATATGTTTATATGTGTTTATATGTGTGTATGTGTTTATGTATGTGCTCATATGTGTATACATGTATGTATGTTTATATGTGGGTATGTATGTATGCTTATTTGTGTGTGTGTGTTTGTGTCTGTGTCTGTACATGTTGTTAGGGACTGAGTCCAGGCCTTGAACATGGTAGGTAGGTGCTTTACCACTGAGCTGCAACCTTGAACTCACTATTCCCCAGCTTTACTTCCCTGATGCTGGCATTATAGATGTGTGTCAGCACCCAGTTCATCTTATCCCCCAAGTTCCTCCACACTGAATCTTTTGAAGAATAGTCTATTCCTTTCCATTTTCATGTGCCATTTACTCACCACCCTGATGTCTTTAGTGTTCTTCTGGCCAGTATTTTGGTTCCATTTTACAACATCAGAGTAGAAAAAAAAAATACTGATTCACTCTTTGGAGTTGGCAAAGAGGTGGAAAATAGAGCACTCACAGATAGTTATGGTGGTATAAGTTGGAGTAAGCAGTTAATTTTTTTTTATTTGAAAATGTCAAGCATGCTTGGGGTCATGAGCTTGTAGTCATTGGGATAGTGGCCTCTGTTTTATTTCTTTGAACCCTTCCTCTGTTTGTGTTTCTGTTACCCAGGGTTGCTGTACGCTGGAGACAAGCTGGTGGAAGTTAATGGTATCTCAGTGGAGGGCCTGGACCCTGAGCAAGTGATCCATATTCTGGTAAGTGTCTTACCTCCACTCTTTGTTAGTGACTTCGTGACATGCCAAGTCCCGTGGTGTGTGTGTTGTACTGTGATGGCGCTTGAGTCCTTCTTGGCAGCTTTCTGTCTCCAGCGCTAGACCTTGTCTGTTACCACACAACTCACCAAGCTTCGTGTTTAATCCCCAGAAGTTCTGGTGAAGGCTAGGAAACATCCTGTCCCAAGCATCTCCTCCACAGCTGTCTCCCCCACAACACATTTATACACACACAAGTCCCTCGTCGCCTGTGCTCAGCGGGAAACAGCCTGGGCAGAGTGGGGTTTCTGAGACTTTGGACCTGAGAGATGTCCCCTCACTCCCTAATATGTTCATACAGCTTAAGTCTGTTTACATCTTTCTCTGGTGGGTGGGGAGAGAGGTCATCAGAAGGCATCATGTAGGCAGGGATAGGGCTTGCTCAGGTCTGCTCCTGCTCCTTGGTGGCCAGCGTTGGGAGTTTTAGAAATCAAAGTGGCTCAAGGTGGGTCCAGTGTCTGCTCAGCCTGTATGCCTGTGCATCTCAGCCTTCCATGGCCAGTTCCCATTCTCACTTGTCAGGATTGTCAGCGATTCAGCACTTATTCCTCATAGAAGCAAGGCAATACCCATACCCCCAAGTACACGTCTCCCCAGGGACACATCTCCCCAGGGACACATCTCCCCAGGTACACATCTCCCCAGGGTCACATCCCCCCAGGTACACATCCCCCCAGGGACACTTCCCCCAGGTACACATCCCCCCCAGGGACACATCCCCCCAGGGACACATCCCCCCAGGGACACATCTCCCCAGGGACACATCCTCCCAGGGACACATCCCCCCAGGTACACATCTCCCCAGGGACACATCCCCCCCCAGGGACACATCTCCCCAGGGACACATCTTCCCAAGGACACATCTCCCCAGGGACACATCCCCCCCAGGTACACATCTCCCCAGGGACACATCCCCCCAGGGACACATCCCCCTAGGGACATATCCCCCAGGGACACCCCAGATACACATCTGTCCCAGTACACCCAAGGTACTCCCTAGGTTCACTCTGGATATTCACAGTGGTGGCTGAGAAACTGAGGTGAGAGTGGTAAGAAATACATCCAGAACATCTAAATATTTTGTAAGTGACCACTCAAGATTCCATGTGGTGTGGAAGGTCCTGCAGCGGGAATTTAAAGTATATCCATCTTAGATATCAACCAAGCAGCTCTCTATTCCAGTTGCCTACCTGGCCCCACTGTGGAGTGGCCAGGACAATGCTTGGGAAGCCACCAGCAGTAAGAATGAGGTCTCACTAATTCGATGCCTGTCACAGGGTTTGTAGCCCACATCAAGCCAGGAGGGTCTCTTCTCCCCTGTTCATTTTTAGTTTGGAAGCTTGTTGGATCCCTCAGAAGACTGGGGGGACCCCCTTATCCTTCCTATCAGGCTGAGGCAGCTGGCTTAGAAGTGAGTGTTCAGGAAATGCTCAGGAATGACAAGTGAGGAAGGATGTCACAGATGCTATCTCTTCCTCAGGGTGTATGGGAGAGAGACCCTGCTGAGTGAGGCAGCCCTCAGCAGTGCATTGAGGGTCCTGGGGAGAGGCCACCTCAATGTGTGTCTCTGCAGTCAGTGACTCTGGTGCCCTGCACTGAGGCAGGTATAAAAATAAATTGTTTCCCAGTTTCCAATTCTGGGTGGTGACAATTAGCTGTGGACACCTGTGACAGTTGCTGTGGTAAACGCTGTCATAAGACCAGGGCATATTCAGATACCACTCTACCTTCTGCACTGCAGAGTCCATGCTTTGCCCTTCTCCTCTTTGCTGTCTTCTAGGCTATGTCTTGTGGTACAATCATGTTCAAGGTGGTTCCAGTGTCTGCCCCACCTGTGAGCAGCCAGAAGATGGTAAGAACTTCTCATTATTTCGCCTCCCACACAAGGACAGTTACTAAGAGCGATGTATAACAGTCCTATTCACTATACAATTTTGGACAAGGGTTCAGTATTCTGGATGCTTCTCAATGCTGATGGCCTGAAATGGAGAATGGGTAAAGGAACACACAACAAAGGGAGTGTGACATCACGAAATTAAGATGCAGCATCAAAAATCAAGAGAATTTGAAGAAAAATACATCAGGACTAAGGGATTCTGTTCTACAACACATTTTAAAATCTCTAGTAACATATATTAGTATATATAATAATATGTATAATGACATTTTTCATACGTATGTAATATATTTTGATTATGTTTAATCCATCTCATATCCCACCCTCGTTAATACTCTTTATCTTCCCAACTAGTGCTATTTCTACTTTCGTATCTGGTTGTACTTAGTGTGTATGTACATGTGTGTACTTGTGTGTATGTGTGTGTACATGTGTATGTGGTGTGTATCTGTGAGTCTGTGGTGTGTGTGTACATGTGTGTCTGTGTGTCTATGTGTCTGTCTGTCTGTAAATGTGTGAGTGTCAGTGAGAGTTAGTGGAGTTGTTAACACTGAAGCAAATGTCTCAGTCTTCCCATCAACCATTGACTGTTTATAAATCCTGAGGCGGGTGGGACCCCACGAGCCCTATGACAGGGTGCTGACCTGCCCAGTCATGTAGGTCGTCATAGTGGCTGTAAGTTAAAGAGTGCAACAGCTACGCCATGCCTGTGAGGCAGTGTCCACACCACTCCCCCACTTTCTCTAGCTCATACATTATTTCTGCTTCTTCTACAATGTTCTTTGAGCTATGGATAATATAGACATCCCATTTATGGCTATTTATTCAGTAATCTGTAGTCTCAATACTCTGACAACTTAAGAGTCTTTGCAGTAAGTGATGGCCACTGCAAAAAGAAACTCCTCCGACCAGAGCTGGCGGCAGCACTATTCTACAGGCATAAGCACAGTTATTGGGAATGTGGTTTGACAGATACGTCATGCCCATTTAGCAAAATGTCAGCAGTGGCTTCTCACTAGGGTCTATGACCCCCTCAGCTGGCTGCAGACTTTTGACTGTGTTTACAGTACTGGATGTGAATTATTTTATGGAGTGAGCATCATGTCCAACTGGAAAGTGGTTGGTTGTGGCCATAACAAACTTGCCACTGTTGCACCAAAGATCTCGCTTTACCAGACTGGTTGGTATTACTACATCCATGTCCACAGATAAGTAAAGCTGTCGATGACAATTCCTCCCCAGCAGCTAGCTAGCAGGTAGGAAGAGTCGTCCTGGTTTCTCTATGTCCTGTGACCAAGACACCAACAGCACCCCTCCCTCTCCAGCATTTAGTTTAGAAGAACAGCTATCTCCCTTTTATGGTGACGGTAGAAAAGAAGGATGAGGATTGGGGTAATGGTTTTAAGTTGTGATGGTTCCTGGGCAAGCATTCTTCTGATAGTACCAATATGCACCTGCTGCCAGGTTCATGTTCGTGCCATGATTGATTACTGGCCCCAGGAAGATCCTGACATCCCCTGCATGGAGGCTGGATTGCCTTTTCTGAAAGGAGACATTCTGCAGATTGTGGACCAGAACGATGCCCTCTGGTGGCAGGCCCGGAAAATCTCAGACCTTGCCATCTGTGCCGGGCTAATCCCTTCTAACCACCTCTTGAAGAGGTAAGGGAGGTCACTCTTGGCATCAGAATTAGACCATCAGGCAGTGCTTCAAACATCAAGTTCCTGAATATGTGGCAAAGACACAAGGAGATGGAAGAACATAGACACCAAAGTTTATAAACCAAAATGTCAACTTACAGATATGCTTTGAGCTTCTTAAACACTAAGGGGACCAGAATAGTTGTATCAGCTAGAAGGGATAGAAAAGCACTTGTGAGACTAAATTAAACTTAAACATTTCTATGGTCTGAATATGTTGACCTGATCTGCCATTCGTGTGGTGAAATAGTACTAAAAGGCAAGGCCTTTAGGAGTTGATTGGGTCATGAAGTAAGATTATTGAGATTGTGATGGTGGAGGTGTTGGTAAGAATGAGAGGTGTGAGAAATTGAAGTCCTGGAAAGTTGGCAGCTATTGGCACTGCATGGCCTCAGGGCATGGCAGTGGGAGCTAATGGCACAGGTAGGATGAGCCAAAGGCTGCTGGATAAAGGATAAAGGACCCAAGCGGTCCAGGTGTTAGAAGGGACATTTGCCTGCCTAAAACCATCCAAAATTACAACTAGTGTGGAGAGCCTGGGAGCAGCCAGAAAGAATGGGGAATGACGTTCCAAGTGGGGGACTCTTAAAGGAAAGGAAGGGTGTTCTGGAAACATTGGTGGGAATCCGGTACAGCTGCTGTCCCAGGCTCAATGGAATAGTGTGCTGGAGCCAGATGACATCTTTCTGTGTCTTCTGAAATACATGCCCAATGCCACGGCCCCAAGAGAACCTGCACTATAAAGTCAGCCAGTCTTTGCTTTCTTTCTGCCTAGGAAGCAGCGGGAATTCTGGTGGTCTCAGCCGTACCAACCTCACACCTGCCTCAAATCCACCCGATGTAAATGTGCGTATATGAGTGTGTGCAGAGACCTCCAACTCAGCATGCACACCCAAGAAGGCTGCTCCTTATCTCATGCTAGCTGTCTGCCTGAGAGAGGGGGTCCCAAGATAATCTTCCCCACAACTAGCCATCGGAAATCCAACAAACACCATAGGCTTTCATTCCATTAGCGTTCAGTTGATGAAAAGGACTCTTAGCATTTTTATTTCTGTGATAAACACCATGACCAAAAAGCAACTTGGTGAGATAAAGTTTACTTTGCTTATTACCTCCACATCATAGTCCATCATCAAAGGAAGTCAGATAGGAACCTGGAGGCAGGTACTGAACCTGGAGGAACACGGTGTACTGGTTAGCTCCTCATGGCTGGCTCAGCCTGCTTTCTTATACAATGCAGGACCACAGCAGAGAGATGGCACCACCCACAGTAAGCTGGGCCCTCCCACATCAAATATTCATCAAGATGATACCCCAGCAGATTTGCCAATATGATGCAGGCATTCTCTCAATCAAGAGTTCCTCTTCCCAGATATGCTTAGGTTTATGTCGAGTTGACAAAAAACAAAAACAAAAACAAAACAAAACAAACAAACAAACAAAAAACAACCAGCACAAGCCAGACACAGTCCCTGCTTAAATTACCTCCCCTCCCCAACTTCAAGTCCTTTAAGGGAACCTTCAACTATGTGAGTGTCATACCTGGAAACATACCTGTGTCTGTGCTATTGTGCAAACTGCCTTTGTGTCTTTCCTTTTTTAATATTAAGATTTATTTTCTTATAGTTATTTTGTATGTTGGGGAAGGTGTTGCTTGCACGAATGTCTGTGTACCACATGCGTCCAGCACCCCAGAAGAGAGTATCAGAATCCTTGGGACTGGAATTACAGATAGTTGTTAGCCTCTATATGGGTGCTGGGAACCTCTGAAAGAGCAGCCAGTGTCTTTAACTACCGAGCCATCTCTCCAACCCATTCCTTATCGTTTTTTGTACTGTAGATTGGATTTAGGACTTGATGCACACTATGTAAGCACTCTCCCACTAAGTAATGTCCCCAGCCCCAGTTCTGGCCTTTTTGATTAACTGTGAGACTGAGTCATCACTTAAGAAATTCAGTGCGATCATTCTGCAGGGCTCTTCACATGGTAGGAAGAGAGGGGTCAGGAAGGAATCTTGGCATAAGTGCTTGCAAACTACTTAAGGCCTTCTTAATAAAGCTGCTGGCAGTGGGAGACAGTGACCAAGGTAGGTTGACAGACAACAGAAGCAAACTGGAGTCTGCTGAGCGGTACCTTCAGGAATGGCCCTCTGGCAGCCCTATGGGTGTTAAGGCAGGGGAGAGATGGAGACAGAAAGGACAGAGAGGAGACTCAACATAGATCATGGACAGCAACACCCAGTATCACTGATTTGCAAATGGCATGCCTTCCTGTTTATTATTTCCCAGTTTTTCCAGCCAAAAGTTATGTTTCCCTTCAATTTTGTTTGGGAAATTTCAATTTCCCTTCATTATATTTTGGAAAATATAATGACTATGAATTTTTTTGACAGTGTCTCATGCAGTCCAGGCTGGCCTAGAACTGACTATGTGGCTGAGGATGACTTTACTCCCGATCCTCATGCCTCCACCTCCCAAGTGTTGTATTACAAGTGTGCACCAGCTCAACTCACAGAGCAAACGTCCATGCAGTGCCTTCCTTCTCCCTGACACTGTGTTAACTTCTCCCTCAGTTACAGACCTGCATCTGCAGTCACAGACACGTGTCTCCATGCTACCGCAATAGCTCTAACACCATGTTTTCTTCTCTTTTTCTCCAGAAGCATTTTCACGTCATAATCTTCCTTGTGATGTTTCATTTTATTTTGAAAAAAAAAAACAACTTTACTGCTATAGATTAAAAGAATCTAGTTCACTCTCCTGTTTCATTCATCAAGGGTTCATGGAGATGCTATTGGTTTCTAGTCAGTATCTGATAACTAGCATGACCAGAGGTTGACATGAAATCTGCCTGTGTGCTCTGTGTGAGTTACATTATGATTTTAGAAGTCCAGATAGAAAGTTGTGCTGGGCATTGGTGGCTCACGCCTTTAATCCCAGCACTCGGGAGGTAGAGGCAGGCAGATCTCTATGAGTCTGAGGCCAGCCTGGTCTACAGAGTGAGTTCTAGAACTACCTCCAAACCAATACAGAGAAACCCTGTCTTGAAAAACCAAAAATAAAAAAAATAAAAAATAAAAAAAGAAAGTTGTTTGCCTGACCATGTTAGTGTTGGCGCCCAGCCCTGAGTCTGGGAACCTCAGGCTAGAGCCGTTGACTTACAGGATAACATTTCTTAGGGAATGTTTCTGATGGAGTGGCATCATGCCCCCAAACTACTAGGTCATTTCTTTTAGCTGTTATTAATGATGCTGTGGTAAATGTTCTTTTTTTTCTCTCTGTTCTGTTTAAATCTTACCATGTAGAAACATGTGTCATGCACAGGTTACTAGTTAAGAGGAATAAGCCACTTAATTAACCAAGTTTTTGAAAATTTTGTTCCTATGTTAGATTAAGATGATTAGTAAAAAGTTGTTTACTGTAATACATTTATTCTCACCCCTGTTTCATGCCCTCCCTCCCTCTCCTCCCCCACTCTTTTCCTTCCTTCAACCCTAGAATTGAGTTCCTACAAAATGCTGTCCTAACTCCATGAATCCCAGAATACTAATTGCAGTGTTGGTGCTTTGCTTTTCTTATGGTAAATTAATCTGAAAAAATGCAAGAATGTGAACCACTATTCCTTTTTCTCCCTGTTTCCAGCATTTTCTATGGAAGAAGGTAAGAAACAGATTCAGGAAAATACATTTATCTCCAAATACTCCTAGGAATTTCCTCTAGCCTTCCAAATTCATTTCCACTCCCCTCAGCTATGAGAAGATTTTCCTGCATATCTGGTAGTGAGTTAGCACAAGAAAGGTAATTATCCCGATCTGAGAGATCAAGGAGGGGGACATCATGTTATAGCCCTGGAGTCTAACAGAGTGCAGTGTAAGCTCACTGGGAGTTAAGTCCAGTAGGGTTTTGTTTACACTGCTTTATACAAACTTCATGACATTGTAAGGAGATTATTGTTATTCTCATCCTATGTATGAAAAATTGAGGCTCAGAAAAAGATAATTAATGGCTGTCTGAAGTTGAAAACAGGTCATCTAGAGGCTCAAGCTTCCACCTGGATGCCCATGTTGGCCGTTAAATGGAACCTTTGGAAATTACCTTTCCATTTGTTCTTGTTCAAACATCTGCTTGTTGATTCCCTCTCCTTTCTCTCTCCTCTCTATCGTTGCTCTCTGTGTGTCTTCCTGTCTCTCTTGTTGCTCTCTGTGTGTCTCTGTCTCTCTGTGTCTGTTTTTCTTGTCACTTTCTGTATGTCTCTGTGTCTCTGTTTTTCTTGTTACTCTCTGTATCTCTGTCTCTCTCATTGCTCTCTGTGTGTCCCTGTCTCACTGTCTCTGTCTGTCTCTCTCTTTACTCTCTGCATGTTTCTGTTTCTGTCCCTCTCCTTTTCAGCTGCAATGAGGGAAGTAGCTTTTGCCTTTTGACCAGGGATGAGACTCTGTAGTGTTTCTACTTCAAGAAGTTTTTCTGGCTAAGATGGATAACAGCGCTGGTCTTAGGGTACAAATATAAATATTTAGAAGGCAGTTTGGCCATATATCAATAGAAAATTATGCCCTAGGGCCTATGACATCCAAGCCATAGATGGTTTTGCTCCAGTTTGTCAATATCAGTTTTGCATTTCTTTCCACAGAACAGGCTTCAGATTCAATCAGAGAGTAATTAACTAGCCCCAAACAAGTGTGCTGCTATTGCACCAGTGGGCCACTTCCTGGCCAGTCGGCACTGTAACAGTCAGGATCCACCAATGGGCATTGCTGCTGATGCCTTTTCTAGCAGGCTGCACACTTCATCTGGCACAATGAGCACAGCCAACGCTGCTTAAGTTGTAGTGTTTTAGGTTCCGTTGTTCACAACATGTATCCCCCCCCTCCGCCCCATACAGTAGAATTTGTTTTATCTTTTCAATAGAGCAGTAGTTCTAAGGGTAATACTGAAGGGTGGTCTGTGTTTGGTTGACATGGCCTCAGTAAGATTTTTGTTTTTAATGTGGGCACATCTGAGTCCCCTGTCTATGCTCTTTTGTAGAAGATAACATGAAGATTGATGAGAAGTGTGTGGAAGCAGGTAACATTCCCCTAATTGAGTCACCACAGGAAAAAAAGGGGAAGAACTTCAGCTCTAGATGACCAGAAGCAGAGGTGTCAGGGGGCCACAGTCCTTTCCTCTGGAAGACATGTGTAAAATGAACCCACCCATGTGCTTTTATTGTGGCTCTACACTTAGAAGGAGAAGCAAAGCTGGGCTGTCTCCAGGATTCCATCTTGGAAATTATCTCAGAGATAACCAGTGAGGTGGTGGAATAACAGGAAACACCCATGCTCCGTGTGGAATAATTGAAGAGTGTGATACCAAATATTTAAAATGCAATATAGATTCTTGCTATTACATTTAATTATTTTAGTCTGGGCAGATAGTAATGGGTTCTATTTCTGTTCTTGACGTGTTTGGTAAATTCTGAAAAGTTTTTTCTCAAATTTAACAGTGGTGCTAGGACTGGCTCTTGAGCCACTAGGTTTTATGAGGAAACCAGCTGGAGAGGCATTGGTCTGACAGGTGGGCTTGTTTGTCCTTCTGAGACAGGCTCTGACTCTGTCTCAGGCTGGCCTGGTACTCACTGCCTCGTCTAGACTGGCTTCTAATGCTCAGCTATCCTCGTGACTCAGCCTCCTGAGTGCACAGATTACAAGTGTGAGCCACCATGTCCCGCTCTACTGGGTGACTTTGTATTGATGTTATGGGCTATTCTATTTAGTAATAAAGAAATGTTTTGAAAGATTTCATTTATAATGTGGACACTTAAAAAAAAACAGGAACCATAATCTTTCTTTAAAACTTGAAGTACTACTCATTTCCTTTCTACAGTTTAAATTAAAATTCTATTATTAATATATTGACATAGCTCAAAATTCACAACAGCATATTCAGTTAGAAGTTCCTCTCTGTGTGTTTTCCTGTTCGATTCCCCCTTTGAAAATGATGGTGATGATGGCGATGATGGCGATGATGATGATGATAATGATGATGATGGCGATGATAATGATGATGATGATGATGGCTATGATGATGATGGCAATGATGATGATGGCAATGATGATGATGGCGATGATGATGATGATAATGATGATGATGGCAATGATGATGATGGCGATGATGATGATGATAATGATGATGATGATGATGATAATGATGATGATGATGATAATGATGGTGACGATGATGATGGCGATGATGATGATGATGATGATGGCGATGATGAGTGGTGCTGGTGTGTGTAGGGGCCAAAAGACAGCTTTTGGAGTTAGTTCTTTCCTTTAACCTTTAACGGGGTTCCAAGGTTCAAACCAAGATTGCCATGCTTGTGCAAGCAAGTTATTTTACCTGCTGAGCCATCTTGTGAAACCTCAGTTGCCTGTAGTGTCCTCCAAACATACTCTTTGCAGACAAAAGCAATGATGTGTGTTCTTTTCCCTGCCTTCCCACTACCTTTCCCCCAAACACACACACACACACACACACACACACACACACACACACACACACACACCCTTTGACAGTGCTTAACAGTGCTCTCTCTCTCTCCCTCCCTCTCTCCCTCCCTCCCTCTCTCCCTCCTTCCCTCCCTCTCTCAGTCTCTCTCTCTCTCTCTCTCTTTGTGTGTGTGTGTGTGTGTGTGTGTATCCTCTCTCACCTATAGTACTAAATAGATAAGTTTATGAGGATAACAAAAGTTGTTTCAACTATTGAGGGTTGAATTATCTCATCTGTCTCAATCACTTGAACAATGCTACTCACGCCAGCCATTCATTAATTCATTCTCCTTCCTATATCCTCTGCCTGGGAAACTTTGACTCCGCAGAGGCCAAACACATCCCACACTGATGACCCCTGGAGCAGCCCTCTGTGCCATCCTGTGGTCTGGAGGAGGTTCCTATGGTGTTCTATGTTTTAAATTATTTTTTTCTCTCACATTATTTTATTTCTATTTAGTGCTGCATCCCTCTTGGTTGTCGTAGCCCAACTATTGAATACCATCTATCTCATTTAAGACATATGTATGCCATATATCTTGATTTTGATCTAATAAAAACATTTTAAAGACAGTATTGTATTGGCAAAGCATGGACCAGACTTACACTGCTAAAATGTAGACTTGGTGAGGACAGACATGTAATGATAATTTTGCTTTTCACCTCCACTGAAAACCACAGATGAAGAAACTTTTGAATCTGGTAAGTTAAAAATGCATATTTAGTACTAACTTGTAAATGTATATATTCCATGTTTTGGTATAATTTAAAGGTATTTAGGGATATAACACAGTAACTACTTAAATGAGGCATAAAATTATTAAACCACATGAGATGATAATAGGTTCATTTGCCTTACTACAGTAGCTTTTTATTACTACTATGCATAATGCATTTCAGGCTTCATATATGAACTGAAACTATGTTTATATACGAGATACTATCATTTTCACTTAGCCAGTTGCTTCTCATAGGACCAGAGCTGTACTGAGGATGGGGGTGCAGCTAGATTTCTGTGGGGCACTGTTTGGTGGTTGCATACATTGAGAGTAGTAGCATCCTCTAACTGGTAAGATGAGGAATGCTAGTGTCCTGAAGTGTATGCAACCAACCTGCACTATGAAGGGTTGTCTCTGGACCCTCATGTGTTCCTACTGGACAACAACAACTGCAGTTACAAATAAGCATCTCTTTAACACATGATAGTGATGTAAGCTTTTGTAACCTGATGCATGGAAGGAGGGGGAGATGGCTCCATGGATGAAGCACTCACCACATAAGCATGAGGACCTAGGTTTGAATCCTTGTAGCTCATGTAAAGTCAGGCACAGTGGTGTGCATCTGTGATCAGAGTGCTGCAGTGTGAGGCAGTGACAAGGGAATCACTGGAAGCTTGCCGGCCAGCTAGTCTGACAAGACAGTGGAGGACTGAAAGGGACCGTTTCAAACAGGGTGGAAGGTGAGGGCCTTCCATGGGTTGTGCTCATACTGCCACATGTGACTGTGGCATGCACACTCCCTCTCAAGAATGTGTGCCTGCACGCACACACACACACACACACTCACACATATACACATACACACTCACTCACACACACTCACACTCACGCATACTCACACACACACACACACTCACTCTCACATACACACACACACATACACACACACACACACACACACACACACACACACACACACTCACTAACAGTCACTCTCTCAAACACAGACTCACACAGTGAAGGCAGTCACTCTGGTGGAAGACACTTAGAATAAAGACATTGCCTTGTAGTTACTGAAGCTTTTGTTTTCACACTCTTTTCCACATGGACAGCAAAAGAGATGGGAAGTCCAGCGTTTCTGAAGAATAAGCTTTCTTTTCTTGTTAATACATTACTTACAATAATTAAGGCACTTCCCATTGTCTATTCTTCAAATTACCATTGACTCCATTAGTAGCAGAATAGATCCTACAGCATGGTTTCTGTGTTTAAATGGGCAACCTGTCTGGGTGTGCTACTCACTCAATTCCCAGCTTTCCTGTTTCATCAGTCTCTAAGTTTTTTGATGTACTGCCTCTGCTTTACCTGAGGCAGTTCCACCCTTTTATCATGGATACATAAACTAGTCTGTCATCACTGAACAGGACACTTGAAAGTCCACCTGTCCCTTTGCTCTTTTCTCTTCCATACTTCTATAGGGAATGTCCAGTGGTCCTCTCACTGCTTTTAAAGCCAGTGCTTCACCATGTGAAGTAGATATCAGTCTCTATAGTTTCTTCAATATTCTGGAAAAAACATGCCTAAAAACTTATATTTTGGCTGGAGAGATGGCTCAGAAGTTAAGAGCACTGGCTGTTCTTCCTGAGGTCCTGAGTTTAATTCCCAGCAAACACATGGTGGCTCACAACCTTGTATAATGAGGTCTGGTGCCTTCTTCTGGTATACAGGCATACATGCAGGCAAAACATGGTATACATAATAAATAAATCTTTAAAAAATTATATTTTGATATGTATACTTCTCAAATATGAATGGCTTTGTTTAATACTTTCCTTGACAATAGAGTTAGGACATTGTATCCATCTTTTAAAATTAAATGTGTGATAGATTATTTCTCCTATGAATTCATTTCCTGCACATCGAGAGATCTGGGGTCAGAGAGATGGCTGAGTGGTTAAGAGCACTGGCTGCTCTTGCAAAAGACCTGAGTTCAATTCCCATCACCTACTAAATATCTGTAATTCCAGTTCCAGGAGATCTAATGCCTTCTTCTGGCTTTCACATGCAATAAGCATGCACATGGTACATATGCATACATTCAGGCAAGCACTAATATATATCATTTTTTAAAAAAAGAATAGAGAGGTCCCTATAAGTATTCATAATTAAATATAGCATGAAGACAGATGAAGTTGTGAACCACTTATTTATTTACCACCTACATTTTTTTATCTTTTCTAAATGTCTGTTTTCCATCAGCTAGTTGGCTCATTATGGATAATTTAACTTTCTGTACTTGACCTAGAGTTTGTGGTTGGCTTCATTCTAATATTTTTAGATTATATTCATCCTTCTTTGTTCTGGTCATCTCATCATTTTTTTTTCTGGAAAATGCTCTGCCCTCCAAAGCTGTACCTGAGACCCAGAGATCTGGGGAAGTATCTGGGGAAGGAAAGGGGGTGTTGTGGAGTGGGCACACTATAAACTGGAGCCACATGATCCAATATGACTGTGGCCTCTATGGCCCTCCACCTCTTTGACCTTCAGATTCCGAATCTCTAAAATGAGCCACACTCTTCATTAGTAGGGCATTCAGAACAGAGCCAAGCATACAGTAAGCACTATATACATCAGTATTAGCTTGTGTTGAGGTTGTGACATCATTCACGGGGTAGCCAACTGCTACCTGTACTACCAAGGGAAGTGTGCAACTAACCCAAAGCTCCCAAGAGTGCTTTTTAAATTCAGCTCTCTCAAGAGCTCAATGAAGGGATCGTTAGTGCCCAGCTGGCGTTTTGTCTAAGTAGATCACCCTTGGCAGTCGGTGACACTCCTATTTTTTGGACAACTCTGTGCCTAGTTCCGGCTCTCCAGTTTCCGTCTCTGCCTCTGAGTGAAATGTAATATGACCTTCTTGAACTTCTCCAGGAGGCAGTGATGCAGTCTACTTAACTAGAAAAACCATGTAACAACAGCAACAGAAAATCCAGCCACTTGAATATGTCTAGATAACAACAAACAAAAATACCCAAATAATTTGCTTTGTGTTCAGACAGCACCCCCACCCTGCTGCCTAAGTCTTCCCAGCTGGAAAAGAAAGTGTGTGTGTGTTAGGCCAGCCAGGGTGGAGGAAGGATGACATCAAGCTGCTATAGAGTCTGCCCATCCACCTAACCAACACCCTTACCAGGAATGTGCCAATGCGGCTGTGGGAGAGTAGAAAGAAGGCTCAAAGCCATTGCCTTGGTATATTTTCTTTCAAGTACAGTTTTGTGCCAATCAGTAGTCTCCATGGATAAACAACACCTTCAGGGACAATCTTGACACTCAACTTGCAGGACAAGTGACTGTCACGCAACAGTACAGTCAGATCAAATAAGTTTCTGAGTCCCAACTGTGTGGTTTTCATCTGCCTTGCCAAGTTATAGCTTTTGCTGTGGGTGACATGGCTTTCCTGCTGGGTCATTCATATTTATTTAATGGTTAACTCGATCTTTGCAAAGATTAATTTTTCACGTCTCTTTCTGTACTTGCTCTAATATCCAGAGGAACTTGCAGAAGGTAAGTGTTCCTTGTCTCCTGCATCTATACCATGCAGTGCTACACTCAAGGTTTTTCACTGCCATAAGGTGGTAGCATAATTTCCAAGAGATGTCTTTTAAAGGCCAGATCAATAACTCTCTGGTTTCATGGAAAACATTTTAAATGAGTAATGAAGGCGATTAAGCTTTATGAATCTATATGTTAGTGAGATTTCCTTGTGAACATATTTACATAATGTAGAAAAATGTGACTCATCACTAGGAAATGGGATTAATACAGCTATTTTCCTTTTTATTCAGATTTATTTTAATTTTTATTTACGTGCATGTGCTTTTGTGAGCTTACGCTGTGTATACATGGGTGCTTGTGGAGGCCAGAAGAGGGCATTAGATCCCTTGGAGCTAGAGTTACAGGTGGTTGTGAACCACCAACATAGGTGCAGAACCAAACACAAGTCCTTTGATGAGTAGCAGGCTCAGTTACCCATGGAGCCCTTTCTCCAGCCCCTAGTGTTTCCTTTGTATTTTAAAATGCTTTCTTCAAACCAGGGATAGTAGCATATACCTATAATTTTAGCACTTAGGCAGCAGCAGAAGGGTCATGAGTTCAAGGTCACCTTCAGCTACATAGCAAATTTGATGCCAGCCTAGACTACTCAGAGGCCTTGTCAGAACAAACAAAACAATTTGTAAAAAGAAGGTTAAAGAAAGAAGGTTGTATATGTGAGTTCATCCTGTGAACAAATGCTTGTTATTTATTATATCAATAATCAAAACAGATCTGTTTAAATTGCAAGGGGTTTAAGTAAAAATAACTCAAAACTGATTATTTTTTAGTTCCAAGTAGAAGCAGAAACAGGAGCCTGAGTCAGCCCTAGAGGCTGAGGGGATTGGGCACCCTCTCCTCCTTTGTCTTGAGTATTCCTGGCCATCATAGAGCAAGTGCTGACTTTTTTATAGAATGAACAAACCACTTTCTACAGGAGGCAATCAAAATCCAGTAAAACCTTTGTCCTAGTTTCACTCCCTGTTTCTATGAGAAAATCTCCTGACAGAAGCAACTTCAGGGAGAAAGGGGCTGTTCGGCTTACATGTCTACAATGCAGTGTATCATTGTGGGGAAGTTAAGGCAGGAACTTAAAGCAGCTAGTCACATCCACAGTCAAGAACAGAGAGAACATACATTCATGTCCTCAGATCACTTTCTCCATTCCTATATAGTCTGGGACCCAAACCCAGGGAGTAGTGTTGGCCCAAATGGGTGGGTTTCCTCACCTCAGTTAATGTAATGAAGACCATCCCCCACAGATGTGCCCATAGGCCTGAATGATCTTGACAGTTCCTTACTGAGTTGTCTTTCCGGGTGACTCTAGATTGTCTCACACTGGCAATTTAAACTGTCTATCATAGCTGTCTTAGTTGAGGTTTCTAGTGTTGTGAAGAGACACCATGACCAAGCTACTCTTGTAAAGAAAACATGTAATTGGGGCTGGCTTACAGTTTCAGAGTTTAGTCCATTTTTGTCATGGTGGGAAAGCATGGCAGCATTCAGGCAGACATGGTGCTGGAGAGGTAGCCGAGAGTTCTACTTCTGGATTAGCTGGAAGAAAGAGACTCTGGGCTGGGCTCAAGCATTTGAAACCTCAAAGCCCACCCCCAGCGACACACTTCCTCCAATAGGGCCACACCTATGCCAACAAGGCCACACCTCCCAATAGGACCATTCCTTATGGGCCTATGCTGGTTATTTTCATCAAAACTGCCACAACAGCATTATTATAGGGCCCACAAGACCACTATCTTCAAGTGAATGCTAAAGCCAGCTTGTTGGGTTGTTTTTTTTTTTTTTTGTAATATCAGCTTTTATAGGACATTTGAAAATGTAATAACCAGCATTTATGTTTTTACTCTAACTCAATATGTTGGTTTTTGTTTTTTTAAGACAAGTTCTCAATATAAGGCTCAAGTTTGATACAAAATTGTGGTCCTCCTGTTTTAGCCTCCTGAGTGTTGGGATTATAGGTGTGTACTGTGTCCAGTTTCTGTCTTACAACTTTAATCAAGCCTAAAATAGCTTTCTAGTCTCAGTCATTATAGGCAAATCCTAAAAATGCAATGCTAAAGAGAGTGCATAAGAGCAGTGGGATGGAAAGCGCAGAGAGCCCTCCCTAGCACGCTGCCCAAGGGTGAAGCCAGCTGGCCTGCCACCCACAGAAAGCATCGCTGAAACTGGAAGACAGGGCCATGCATTTGCTTGTTGTGTTACTCTCTATATCCTCACATACTCTCCATTCTCTGTGTTCCAGCTAAAGAGGAGTTTGTTGGCAATGGACAGAAGTTCTATATCGGTAGGTGACAGCTGATAAGAGGTGTGTGTTTGCTCTTGTAAGTGCTATTCCCTATCCGGACGCCTTCCTGAAAGCCTTTGCTGAGCAATTTCTCTAAGCTGTTTCTTGTTCTGACTTCCCTCTGTCTGCTTTTCCTCACTAACAATCTGATCTATTGATTACTCGTTATTTATCTAAATTCACTGCATATCTTTTAATTGTCAAACATACATCTGCTCATTTTTTTTCCCCAGACTGTTCTATAACCTGTTACTGTAAAGAGATCAGTCTCATGGCTACTAAAGCCATCTTTTATGTCCACGTTTCTAGACTCTGTCACTTCTCTAAAAGAACAGGAATCCCCGATTAAAACCACCCTGACCCCCCTTTTCACAAGACAGGGAAGAGAGACAGAGCTGCAGTCTAAAATCTAGAATGTTGGCCCCAAGCCTAGGTGCACTTTGGGATCATTGGAGGAGCATGAAGTCACAAGGGCCTTGCCTTTGTGCCTTGCTTACAGAATTATCAACCTCAGCACCATTAAGTAAGGCTGGACAGAGTATGTGGCTGCACAAAGGCTATTAATAAGGAGCCCCAGCAGGGCCAGGAGGGAATCTGTGGACAGTGGTGGCCTGTCACAGTGCTCAGCGCTACAGGAGATAGAGGCAGCAGCTCTGATACCCAACAACCTCCATCGAGGTGCCCCCTAGCCCTAGGGCTGTTGCTTGATATAAGTGAGTATGTTGAGAACAGTAAAAGCCAGGGCTGAGAAGGGAGCTGCAAATGAGGAAAGGGAAAGTTTGCAGTGAGTCCTGTATAGTGTAGCATTTATAGAGTAGGTACTGGTGAAGGCCCATAGATTTCAATATAGATAACTACAAGATATAAATGTGTTTGCGTGTTTATAGATGCACATATAGTTTCTAGCTTTACCTTCAGAGAGAACCTGCAAAGACCTGTGAAAATACCAAAAAGGCTTTTGGTTCTGTGGCATGAAAAGGATTCTAAGAATTCAGCCAGCAATAATGATTAGGGGTCCTAACTTTGTAGACGATCCTACCTACCTAACCTATGTAACCACACAAGCTGTCTACATCTTAGTGTATCCATCTGAAAAATGGGAATGATAAGAGTGCCCAGTGTTTCCACCCTGGCCTCAGAGCTACTGCAGGAGGCTCCTAACTGCTCTCCCTGAGGCTATGTTTCTCCTTTTAAAGTTTGTGTCCTCTCTAGAGCAACCTAAGGAATCTTCCAGAAACATAGATCAGCCACCACACAACACAGCATCAAGACTCTGTGTGATCTGGCTTTGGCTCCTTCCTCGGCACCAGTTCTCACCACCTTCCTGTTGCTCGCTGCCCTGTAGTTCTTCAGAAGCCTTCAACCTTCGGAGAACAGCCTGTTTTCTATCTTTTGGCAATTGTTCTATCCTGCAGATACCATCTTGGCCCTGATGTATTCAGCCAACCACTCATTGCCAGCTTTTCAGATCCTGTTACTGAACTGTCGATTCCAATAAACCACCTGTCACTCTCTGACCGCTCAACCCTTTTTCTGAGGGCTCACTTGCTTTTATTGTTCTTATTTTGTGTTTCTTCCTCCATGAATTGTAAATTTCATGAGACTATGACCTGGATTAGTTTGGTCACTGTATCACTAGCACCTAGGATACACTATCTGCTTCTTCTATTTTGTTTAGTTGTTTTTGTTTGTTTGTTTGTTTGTTTGAGACTAGGTATCACTATGTGGCTGTCCTGGAACTCACTTTGTAGACCAGGCTAGCCCTGAACTCACAGAAATCTGCCTGCCTCTGCCTCTGGAGTGTTGGGGTTAAGGGTGTGCACCACCACACTCTCCTTAAAGCGGGTGTCTGTCTGTCTGTCCTGTCCTGTCCTGCCTCTGACAGTTTGTGCATTTCCTCCCACTTCAGCTGGTTTCCGCCGCAGCATGCGCCTCTGCCGCAGGAAGTCTCACTTCAGCCGGCTGCATGCCAACATGGGTTGCTCCTGCAGCTGCTTCAGTGCAGTAGGTGCCCCTTATGAGGAGGTGGTGAGGTACCAGCGGCAGCCAGCAGACAAGCACCGCCTCATAGTGCTCGTGGGTACGGCCTGTCGTGCATGCGACTCAGCCCCAGGGAGTTGTCCTTCTAGATTTAGTGTTTTGTGTTGGCAGTAACAGTAAAAGTAGAACTCTTTCCAGACCCCTATGTAGATACGTTATGAAAGCCTGTTGTGCTTATAAAGTAGCTCTCAAAGGCCAGCTTTCTTTGCCTTCTTTGCTCCTCTTATACTTTGATCTACAGTTGAACATGCTATGCCGTGATGTGTAAGAACCCGTGTGTTAACTTTTATCTGTCTAGAATTTGGTCTCCAAGCACAGGTGGTCTACCCCAGGCCGCATCACTACTCCATATTAGAAAATCACCCTGCAATTCCATTTCTCTAAGAAATGTTTAGCCATTTTCTTTAGAAAGTGTCTGAATCTTCTGGATGTAGCTTTGACACTAAAGGGCTTGGGTGGTCTGGTTTTGTGACCAAGATCTCTGCAGAGTTGGCTCCCTGAAGCAGTAGAAGATAACTCACTGCCAGTGTGGCTTGTTGAGTTGTGATTGTTGTGATTGAGCGGGGGTGGGGGGGCGGCTTGCAGAGCAAAGCGGGCCTGGCAGCTACCCCAGCTACATTACTTGTAGTACTGACTGTAAAATGAAATTATAAAACCCTTTGTATTTGCAGGTAGAGCAGCCTTATTCCAAGTGTGGTGGTGTTCTATGTGTGGGCTCTGCGTAAATGTGCAGGTTTGAGGCCCAGTCCCACCTCCCACAGGATACAAGGATGCTCACTCAACCACCTGTTAGAAATGTTACAGCATCTGTGGGGACAGCACTACTGCATTCTGACTATGACTTTATTTGAAGAAGGGCCGTGTCTCAGATTATCTGACGCAAGCTCAGGACAGTCTCAGAACAGAGCATCAAATGTAGTGGGATTTCTGGCAGGTCCCTGTGATTTCATACCCCACCTCTGAATGTTGGCATGATGTGAGATACTTCACGGGTCTCCAGGAACGTTCTCAAGAGCTTTCTGGTTTGTTGCAGTTCATAAGAAGGGTTATGGCAGAATTTTCCTAAACAGCATTGACTCTCAAGTGCTTGCAACAGAGTGACCGAGGGATGGCTGGAGCACGTAACCCTGTATGTCCCCCTCTAATTATCTCTGCTATGACTGTCTGTGTTTAGGACCTTCTGGCGTTGGAGTCAATGAACTGAGGCGACAACTCATTGGGCATAATCCCAGCTGTTTCCAAAGTGCTGTGCCACGTATGTTAATCTTTCTTCCTGGTGGCTCATGTTTTGGTAAAACTTTGTCTCTGAATGTACTGATGTCACTTAACTATGCCATATTACCTTTGTTGTAAAAGTGTAAGGACAAGTCCTTAAATAGTTCTACCTTTATTTGTTTTAATAATTATGTTGATTTACTAGCATGTAGTACATGACGCAAGGCTTCCATTTTAAAACTGTTCAGTAGGGAATTTGTTGTAACAGAGGATATGGGACAACAAGCATTATAGAATGTAGGCTACAGAATTAGACTGGTGTATTATTCCTGAGTTCTAGAACCCAAACTAATACCTGGAATATAGTAGGCACATAGCATGTGCTAGTTGAATAAATGGACAATAAATAAAAACATTTTACGTATTTGGGGGAACTTGTGTATTCTGTACCAGATGTACAAGATAAAACTGAGGAGTCTAAATTCAAGAGGCTGTTGTGCCCAAGTCATGAGGATCCCCAAAAGAGACCACCAGGGAGACAGACCCACCAAACTGTAAAAGCAAGGTTTTATTATTTTATCCAACCATGACAGGGACTTCGTCTAGCTGGCTGACGCAGTAGCCACCAGAGGAAGCGAGTTCCCTGTCTACTGCCAGGTTTTTATTTTTTTCTTTTTATTAGAAAGAAAATTATTTTACATGTCAATCCCAGGTCCCTCTCCCTCCCCTCCTCCCCTGCCCCCTGGGGGGGGGCTTCCATAGGGGGTCTTCAAAGTCTGTCATATTCTTTGGGATAGTACCTAGGCCAACCCCCTTGTGTCTAGGCTCACGGAGGATCCCTCCATGTGGGATGGGCTCCCAAAATCCATTCCTATGCTAGGGATAAGTACTGATCCTTAACACAAAATATCCAGGAAATATGGGACACTGCCAGGTTTTTAAAGGCAGAAATCACAGGATTAGTTCAGTAGGTACGGGTTGGTTTCTGATTAGCTGACATTTGGGGAACAACTAGGGGAATTTCTCAAAGTCATATTTTGCATGAAATACTCATGCCAAATTCTCATTGGTAGTGCTCAGAGGGAACATTCTGCGGTTTCTATGGCTTTGTCTTGTTACTTGCAGGTGGCCTGTTGTACATAGATACCAATAGTTTTCAGAACTGTATCCTGGAGACTACAGGGGAGTTTTGGAGTTTCTTTTGTGGCCAAACAGTTCCCAGGAACCCAAGTATCTAGGAGTTTGGGGGAGAAGGGTCAGGAGTTTCTTTGTGCTCAGTTTTGGCCCCAGGCTCCAGGAGGCCAGAGGATCTGGAGTTTCTTTGTGACATGTGCTGAGTCACAGGCCTACATGTCTTTTCTGTAGCCTGTCATGGCTGCTAAAACAGGGGGCTGAGGGAGGGTCTGGTCCCTTCAGAGGCCACATCAAAGAATCAAACTGAACCCAGACTTGGCCAATTTTCCCCTTTCTTTGTCTCCAAAACCTACTTGGTATTAATGAATTACCAAGACAACAGAGTGCCGTGGATTTTCTCTCTTTCAAACCTGAGACAATGTGGCATGATGAAAAACAGTCTAGGAGGAAGCATTTGTCTTATGAATGTGAGCAAATGGCTCACTCTCCAAATGCTGTAGTTACTCATCCGTGCTCATAACGTACCTGGAGAGCAGTGTGACAGATAAAATAAGGTAACTACAAGTGCATTATTGAAACAGAAGATGTTATTGATATTGCCAGGAGGGAGAATATATGCATTTTAGGCCTCTCATTTAGTTCAGTATTACCTGTTTTGAAATAACATCAGGTGATCCCCTGTCTGATATTTATGATATAATCTTTCCCACACTATGAGCAACCAATAAAAGTTTGTAGTTGGTGGAATTTGACATGGGAGTGATCACTTTATCACCAATTCTTTTTTTTCCATTTTTTGAGACAGGGTTTCTTTGTGTAGCTTTGTAGACCAGGCTAGTCTCGAACTCATAGAGATCCACCTGCCTCTGCCTCCTGAGTGCTGGGATCAAAGGCATGTGACACCACCTACCGGCTCTTTATCACCAATTCTTATCATGTTGGTTGCAGTATCTTATCTGTTTATTATGCACTCATTTATTTGCTTTTAAATGGAATTTCTATCCAAATATACATTTGTATCAAATCAAAGAAAGTATTTAGAAGACTCTGAAAATTTTCATTCTCTTCTCTGGTAGATACCACCCGTTCTCCAAAGAGCTATGAAATGGATGGACGTGAGTATCACTACGTGTCAAAGGAAACATTTGAAAGCCTCATGTATGGACACAGGTATGGTCGGGAAGCCAGTTCTTCCTTCGGGTTGTTTGAGAGTAGTCCATTTTTGTGCATTAACCAAAGCTGTCAGCAATAACCCCTCATTTCTGAAAAGTTGAGAGAGGAATAGGCATTGAAGTACTAGAGCCAAGTAATCAGGTTCGGAAGGGGGCAGACTTGAGCTGCAAGCCTCAGAGAATTTGAAATAGCTAAGTCTTTGGTTTTCTAGTTTTTTCCTCCTGCTGAATATCCGCTCATTCTTTATGTGCTGGCAAAATTCATGTATTCCATCCTGTTGGAGTTCACATTTGTGTCCTAGTTTGCTTTCTAGTGCTATGACCAAAGTAGGTTGGGGAGGAAAGGGTCTATTTGGCTTACATATCCATGTCAGAGGGAATCGCTGAGGAAAGTCTGGACAGGAAATCAAGATGTGAACGTGGAGGCAGGAGCTAAAGGAGAAGCCGTGGAGGAATGCTGTTTACTTGCTTGCTCCTCCTAGCTTGCTCAGCTACCGTTCTTATACAGCCCAGGACTACCTGCTCAGAGCGACACCACCTGCAGTGGGCTGAGCCCTCTTGCATCAATCATTAATTTAGAAAACACCTTCATAAACTTGCCTAAAGGTGACCTGATGGGAGCCATCACTCAACTGAGATTCTCTTTTTCCCCCTGAGACTCTAGCTTACGTCAAGTTGGCAAAACCAACAACAAAAAAACCTAACGAACACAATTCATAATACTGCCGCTAATATTTTACTTGTGGAGACTTGTTTCCTTTGTCTTACGATTATAGGATGCTGGAGTATGGGGAGTACAAAGGCCACCTGTATGGAACTAGTGTGAGTGCTGTGCATGCTGTCCTTGATGAAGGGAAGATCTGTGTCATGGATTTGGAGCCTCAGGTGGGTCTGTGGTAGAGCATTTTCCATCACCCTAAAGTCACAAATGTATGGAATGTAATCTATGTTATGCACATGCTCTAGGCTGTAATTGAGACTTTTTATTCAGCTAGATTTTTAAGACTAAGACTACCTCTCACATGTCAGGGCCAGGTTGTTCCTTGAAATATAAATTGGCAACATTCTGCTTTTAATTGGAGAGGAAGTTTTACTTCTCCATCCAGAACCAAAGCCTGAATGGATAGCTATTAAAAAAAAAGTCCCACTCTTTCCTGCTCTGATACTGATCACAAACTTGTCAAGGAAACCTCTTGTGGGGGAAGATATTGCTTCATACAAAAGGTAATGCCCAATGTTGGCAAAAATGTGTTACATGCCTGAACCACATGTGAAAAGAGCTAAGGTATGGTCAATATTTGTGTAGGCCCAGTTTTCCTGCTCCTTGCATTTTCTTTATTCACTTAAGATTGTACTTCATATGCTAACTTTAACGAAAATTAGGGAAAAGCGATTTGTTCTTTTCTGAATCGGGCATTGGGGGATGAATGGAAGTGGTGTCCAATGCAAGGTGCTAGCTAGAGGAAAGGCAAGTGGGGGCAAATGGACCTTTCCTGAACTTTTCCTTGTTTTTGTCATATAAGGTCATACATGGAGTCTACTCTCAGTAAACAGCATTTTGTCATATGTAAGATTTATTTCAATAATGCAATAGCTAGTCCTTGCTAGAAAGAGGAAGGGCTAGGATTCTAACTTACCCTCGATTCTAGAGCCACATTTATTTTTAAATTGTTTTGACTTTACAATGGAGAACTTGGGGACACAAGGAACTATGCTCATATTGGCTATAGGAAGCTAGGACTTCCATTCGGTTTTCTAAAAGTGGATAATAATGTGTATTTGAATGTGCTGTGTAGAAGCCAGAGGACAATTTTCACGAGCCAGTTCTATCTTGTACGGTGGGTTCCAGGGTTCAGAAAGGGCTCAGCAGGCTTGCATGGTAGGTGCTTTTGCCAGCTGAGCTATCTTGCTGTCTTTTAACTGTGCACTTAATTTTGCTGTGTAGGATATTCAATTGGCTAGAACCCATGAACTGAAGCCCTATGTCATATTTATCAAGCCACCTAACATGAGTTACATGAAACAGTCTCGGAAAAATGCTAAGATTATTACTGACTACTTTGTGGACATGAAATTCAAGGTAAATCGAGTACAAATCGTGGTATTACTTTCAGTTATGGCCAGGTAGAAAGATGGGTGGGCTGGGCTGGGCTGAGAACCTTTCATTGTTTTTGTCTTTATTTGACCCTCTCCTTGGGAGCACTTCAAGAAAATTGTTTAAAAAATAAAAATCATAGCCAGGTGGTGGTGGCACACACTTTTAGTCCCAGCACTCGGGAGGCAGAGGCAGGTGGATCTCTGTGAGTCCGAGACCAACCTGGTCTATAAGAGCTAGTTCCAGGACAGCCTCCAAAGCCACAGAGAAACCCTATCTCAAGCCTCCTCCACCAAATTGCTTATTTCCACAGAATCCTTTAAAGGTTTTAATGAGTAATACCTTTACAAGTCTTCCTTTTTAGCCAGACAGTGGTGGCACATGCCTTTAGTCTTACCAGCACTTGGGAGCTTCTGAGTTCAAGGCCAACCTGGTCTACAAAGAGAGTTCCAGGACTGCCAGGGCTGCCCAGAGAAACCCTGTCTTGAAAAACAAAAACAAAATAAAAAAATACCAAAAGTAAACAAAAAACTAAAAACAAAACAAAACAAAAACTCAACAATTTTTATTAGATTTTATTTACAGATAAGTTTTAATAAATTCTGTGATACTAATTTTCTAAGTTTAACAAAAAGACCTGTAAGCCACAATTTGCAAAGCCAAAGAAATTGGTGTTTATAAAAGCATATTTGTATTTTTGGATTAATTTTACTTTACTTTTTAAACTGCTGTATTGAGTATATCACACACACAGTAAATACATGTATAAATAACTTTTAAAAATGAACTACTTTAAGTATATAGTTTAGCAGTGTGTGTGTATGTGTGTGTTTGGAGACAGGGCTTCTTTGTGTAGCTCTGGCCTTCCTGGAACTAGCTCTGTCTGGCCTTGAACTCACAGACATCTGCCTGCCTCTGCCTCCTAAGTGCTTGGAATAATGTTATGCATCACCACCGCCTGGGCTATATTGACTATATTTATATATTATATTATATATTATATTATATATATATTATATATATTGACTATATAATGTCATGAAATAAACTTTTTTACTTGAAAACTTCATATCTTTTCAATTACTATGAGACTATGATTCTCCTGTTTGACTTCTTGACAAGTCCATGGTTATGACAGACTAGTTTCTAGGTCTTGGGTGCTTTTAAAATTGTGTTTTTGTTGGGCATGCTGGCACACACCTGAAACCTCAGCACTGAGGGAGGCTGAGGCAGGAGGATCACAAGTTTAAAGCCAAACTGGATTATATAGCAAGACTCTGCCTCAAAAATCCAAAATAAGAAAAAGAAAAGGCAAAAAGAATATAGAGGACACTTATTTGATACAATTGTTTTTATAAATAGCCTCATAACTTTGTGTAGCAACCTGATGTCTCTCCCTCTCCCTTTCTTTTCCTCCCTCCTCCCTCTCCTTTTTCTTTCTCTCTTTTTCTCTTTCTTTCCTTCTTTTTCTTTTTCTTTCTCTTTTTCTCTCTTTCTTTCCTTCTTTCCTTCTTTCTTTCTTTCTTTCTTTCTTTCTTTCTTTCTTTTAAGACAGGGTTTCTCAGGGTAGCCCTGGTTGTTCTGGAACTCACTCTGTAGACCAGGCTGGTCTCAAGCTCAGAGATCTGTCTGTCTCTGCTTCCCAAATGCTGGGACTAAAGGTGTGCATCCCCACAGCCTGGTTAACAACCTGGTGTCTTATTGCCAGGGCTATTCATATTTTTCAATCTCTCCTGAAGGATGAAGACCTACAAGAGATGGAGGATTTAGCCCAAAAAATGGAGAGTCAGTTTGGTCAGTTTTTTGATCATGTGATTGTGAATGACAACTTACAGGATGCGTGTGCCCAGCTGTTGTCTGCCATACAGAAGGCCCAGGAAGAACTGCAGTGGGTACCAGAAGCATGGATATCTCCTGGCACTGAGTCTTAACAAGTCTCCTGTTTAAAACTGGAGGCCTAAGATTATGTCCTAAAGATCCAGAATAGCAGCTGCAATTCGAACCATTCGAACTGCAACTGTGAAAGTGCTTCAGCTTTTTTACGGCTACTCATTTGGCACAAGTTTTCCCGTCGTTTCCCCATATAAGCTAATGGTAGGAATGTGAATTAATGCCAACTCTCTAAATGTGACAGTATTCATGTGGGAATTACAGATTTCATATGGTGTCTGTACGAATTAGTTTTTAAAAGTCTCTTTTAAATATATCAGACAATAGTTAATGGATGAAACAGTATTTTGCTTTGAAGAATATTGTGTCTTCTGTTTTATTTTTACAAAAGTGCCTAGTTGACCAACTCACCAAGAATGGTTAACACACATATCTATAAAGGAAACCTATGACACTGTGCCCAAATTAGTAAAGGACAATGTACTAATCCTGGAAGCCCGTGTATGAGCAAACTCCAAAATGAGCAACCTTGGTTTCCATAGATGCCACACTTGGAATGGCATTCCCAGCGCCTCGTATCTGTTCATCTTCACATCCACACTTCCCTCCTCCATTCTACTCTTTTAACTATAAAAGGATTCAAAACGCTTGTTCTTAAAGTGAACGTACTATCTAAAACAAAGGTGGGGATTTGGCCACAGGTTTGAGAACCCGTTTTTTACAGCTGTCCCCACTGAAAAAATCTATCAGAACTATTCCACTCTCGGTCGGCAGGGAATCTGGGAATGTGGGCCTGGCCAGTGAAAGCAAGCCTTCCCCGAACGCCAGCTCTAGGGAGCGCCCTGGCAGGCTGGAACCAGGCCTGGGGGTGGCGGCCTCTCCAGGCTCCGCTGAGCCGCCACCTCTCGCGGGTCCCCGGAGGCCGGCGTCGCGGGGAGCTGGCCTCGGGCTCGGCGGTTGCTCCTAGGCCGCCCTGCGGGAAAGCATCATGAGGGCCGACTACTCGGGGCCTCCGCTGGAGGAAGGCCATGCGGTGAGAGAAGAGGGGTGCAGGACCCGGAGTGAGGCCATGTGGGGGTGCCCTAACCAGCAGTGATCAACGTCGAGCCGGGAATGTGGGGGAGGGGGGAAGGGGTGCGACGG